TGCGCTTCTGTATCAAGTGTTTCTGGCTACTCTTAAAGGATAAGCTCGAGCCTGGTTCCACCCTTTGTCAGGGGGGATTGTAAACACCTTTAATGAGCTGGCCATACTGTTCGCGGAGCAGTTCATCGCAAATCGAAGGATTATCAAGGATTCATCCCATCTCTCCGGAATTCGTCAAAGTGAAGGAGAGTCGCTCAAGGACTACTTCCGCAGGTTTTTTCTGCTGAAGCCCGTCAGATTCCGGGTGTATATCCGGAGTTACTAAAGGGAGCCTTCCTTGGTGGGCTCCGCCCAGAACCTTTTTACTCATCACTGATGCGGGAGACAATTCGTTCTTATGCTGATCTTGTCCATCATATTGAGGCCCAAATCACTATGGATGAGGCCATCGACGCACATAAAGAGCAGTTCAAGAAATTTGGGGGAAAGCATAATAATAACACTGGAGATAATAATCAAACTTCACAATGGATAAAGTCCAAACAACAGAGGAATCACGACCTCCTTCCTCAACCTATAGGCCAGCGAAGTGAGTATCGACCTAAGAAAGAATATGTACCGCTCAACACTTCACATTTTAATGTCTTAATGTCTATCAAAGATGAGCAAGTCGTTAAGTGGTTGCACCTCCTAAAACCTAACTCAGGGAATCAAGAACAATACTGTCATTTTCATCGAAGTCATGACCACTCCACTGAAGCATGTAAGCGGCTCAAGGAAGAGATTGAAAAGTTAATTAAACGGAAATATCTTGGTCGATTTCTACAAAACAAACCAGCTGGTACCAATAATGTTCCTACTGGGGGGCCACATACACAAAGACGGCAACACAGGGTCACCCAGTCGTAGGCGAAATTCAAATAATTGCTGGAGGCCCATTGCCGTCTGATCAAGTTCTTATCACAAAACCTGGCGAACCAATGTAGAAAAAATTGCTTGTCGAGCCTATTACTTTTGATGATTCCAATTTGGAAGGAGTTCGAGTCCCCCACAAAGACACTATAGTCATTAGCGCATGAATTGGTGAGCCTTGCTATAACATAAAGAGGATCCTGATCGATAATAGGAGCTCTATCGATGTCTTGTTTTATTCAATTTTCCTCTGTTTGGGATCGACAAGGGAAAGACTTCAACCTACATCTGAACCATTATATAGTTTTGATAATCGACTAGTGAGGGTCGAGGGAACAATAAATCTCTCTGTTGTCTTGAGAGATTTTCCTCGACAGATAACCCACTCAGTCCAGTTCATCGTTGTCAAATAAAAATCGGCATATAATGCCATCTTCGGGAGACCATTGCAATCAATCTTTGGCATCATGACTTTTGTAACACACTTGAAGATCAAGTTTCCAACCCCAGCAGGGATCAACGTCGTGCGAGGTAATCAACAGACAGCACAAACATTCTACCTCAGATAAGCTTAGTAACGCCTGTCAATGACACTTAGCATTGAGAACTTCAATCTTCGAGCGGACTGCGTGTTTTATGTCTTAAGCCCTCTCAGCTAAGGGCCAGACAATCCCAAGCTAGGTTTTTTTTTATTCGGTCTTCACCTGGGATTCGAACCAAACTCGCCAACATGAAGAGGAAAAACACTAACAACTGAGCTAAGGTAAAGAATTTATGTTGTACATGATAAATATTTTTATATAATAAAATTAATAAAGTAATAAAGTAATAAATAGTTATACATTTATACATATACTAAAAAAAAAAACTCCGGATCTTAATATTTTCGGACGATACAAGTGGTCTCGCCCTAAAATAGGAGAGCAACTGATACGCCACCAATAAATTTTTATCTTCGTGCACGAATCTCAAAGCATGCCAGGAATTTCGAGGCAATATTTTGAGCAAGAAACATCTAAAATTCAATTAAGAGTCATAAAGAGTTCTGATTTTAGTAAACTTATAGTCAAAATGACTGGCTCGATGAGACGGACCCATTGATATAAAAACTAGCCCAATCCGAGTCAGATCAAGCCCGGATCAAATCATTAAACCACTCTTAGAGAATTTCTGGAGGCATTTGGAAGTCAAATGGATGTAGAATCTAACAAGTTTATAATCGAATCGAACGTCTCGATATGAAGAATCTAACGAGCCTAAGATTGCTCAATTCCGACATCGTTAAGACACTCAAATGTTCATCAAATGCCATCCAATTAAGTGAAGCTCTCCGGATCGTCAGATCAAAATGATTCATATTCCTGCATTAATTGCACCCAAAACACTATAAATAAAGCCCCAACCCTCACATGAAGGGGAGGAAGCTTGAGAGAGATCTTGAGACTTTGAGAAGGAGTTCAAGTCTAACATCATCTCAGTCATCGTCGATCGTCGTCGACCACCACCGACCGTCAACGATAATCGCCGGTTGCCGTCGACCACCAGCGACCGTCGTCAACCACCGCCGACCGTCATCAATTGTCATCGACCACCGTTAATCAAATGCTGTCAGTCAACGTTGTACCTTGGAAAATCTAGTAACAATTTATCGTCTGTGTGACAAGGGGCCTCTGTAATCATCAACTTATAGTGGATTCTTATAACTGGGTCAGACCCCGTAGTTTTTTCCCTTAACGAGTTTTCCACGTAAAAACTTCTGGTGTCATCACATGTTGATTCCTTTTATCTAAGTGCGTGCTGAATCCTCGTGCAATGCTGAGACGATAATTCATTACTCTACCGCCGTGAATTTTCTAGCACGCATCACATATGATCTAAATCAGATAATGATGATCAAATAATAATAATTGGATAATGGTGATCATACATTGATAACCATTTAGTAGTATTCGAGTAGTCAGGTGAATAATACTAAATGATAGTTAATGTATATGTAATCGTATGACAATACCAAGATGATAACAATCTGACATTATTAATTAGATGACGACTACCAGACGACCACGCTATGTAGAGTTTTAGAATTCTTTAGATCTTCATGTTCCACAAACTAAAGTCCATATTCTCTTTATATAGAGGATAAAACTATTTATAATTTTTAGATAATAACCCTTTGATAATATAATTTGATTATATATTTACCTTAATGATACTAAAGTTGAGTGATATTAATTTTTAAAATTCTTCTTTTATAGAAATATTTATGTTAAATTTCAAAAGTTATTTGTTCATTCAATTATTATTTCAAAATTTCTCATTTCATTCAAAATGTTGCAACGAGTCTATCTGAACTTGAATCATACCAATTATATTGTCGTTATGTTGATCTTGGCAAGACGGTGTATTTGAGCATACATTTTCTGAAATCATAGTTCCTAAATTTGATTAGATGAGTTGTCAATTCAAAATCAACATCAATGCTCCTTGTTGATTGGACGAATCTTTTGATAATATATTTATCTGAAAAGAGAGTATATAATAAGCATTTTTAAATAGACCATTTATTTTATTAAAAATATTGTAAAAATATGAGTTCATAATTTTAAAAAAGATAAATAAGAATATTTTAACTTAAATTTCTTCCATAAACCTTTTCTCTATCTACATTATTTTAAGATAAAATAATATATAATCAATTATTCAATTATTATTCATAGGATTATTGATAATTCTCATTTAAAAAGAGATTTAACATAAAAGAATATGATTATATTGAAAAATGTTTAAAATATCTTATTTAAATTTTGATGATTAGGATCCGTTTGGCGTAGCTTATTGGTGTGTTTTGCGTTTTCAAAATGTCACTTGGGTGTTTGATTGTTGTGTTTGGGGAACGTTTTTGAAAATGTAGTTTGATGTTCTTTAATAGACGTGGCAGTTGGATCGACCCCGCAACCCGCATTTTGGATCCCCCTTTGAAGTTTTTCCCCTCCCGTGCCATCCGTCTTCTCCCTCGCTCGCTCGACCGTTTATACTAATCACATGCGAGGGGAACAATGACGAAGGCCGCGATACCGCCCACTACAGCTTCAATTTCTTCATCGGCATTCTTGGAGGCAGCCGTAGGCTTCTCACCGATGAAGGTTCTGGTGTCGAGTTTCAACACTGTGCTAGAAAGACAAATTCAATTTTGTTTGTAGATGTTTTACTTTTTAGTTTTCATTCTACTTGGACTAATGTTTCATCTAAATTGAAGGAAATAAAATTTCAATAAATACTTTAAACTATGTAATTCCTTATCGTATTTTTATTGAATTTCTCACAAACTATATCAAATTTTAATAGCATTATGTTTTGCGAAAAAATAATAAATTTATGTAAATAATTTGATAGAATACTAAAAGCTTCTAATTTCAAATTTTGTGTTTAAGACTTTAACCACATTCCTAGTAAAAAATAATTTAGAATTTATTCAATTTTTGTTGCCTTTAATTATTTAAATTACTAGATTTTAAATTGTAAGATTGAACTTTGGTAAATTTAGAGTGAATGCATGTTGGACACAAATTAAGCATGAATGGTTGCATAATTTCAATTAGAAGTGAGATCTATTTAATTTTAGATTCTGTTGAGAATTGAATCTTATTTAGGATACTATTGATAAAGAGGGAATATTGAAGAAATCCAGGGGCTTATTTGTAAAACCATCAAAATATTATATTAAGACCCATGTGATAATGATAAAATGTAAAGAATAAGTTTTTTGAAAAATTCTATGTTTAGTGAGCGTTGTCTCTTATTTTTTTTATGTTTTATATTGATTTTTTGATTCTCAAGCATCAAATATATTGTTATGACAGTTCTGTTGCAAACAATTTTACTGCATAAAATAAAAATTTTATTTATCAAAAAATAACTGCAAATCAGCTGTTTAAAAAAAAAACACAAACCAAACAGTCAGGTAACTTACTCGAATAAACTGTTGATCAACAACTTATCACAACCAACTGCATATTGACAGATTCCGCAATAAGTTACAACTTGCACAAACAACTGTAAAATACAATTTTGATATTTTAAATAATTGATAAAATATATATATATAATAACGAGACAATATATAAGTATCATTTGTCCCATAGGTTCCGCAAGGTCCATCAACCCTTAAAAGCCTCAAACGGCGGTCACGATTTCACGCATGTCGTTTCAGCGTCTTCCTTCCAAAAAACCCTAGGTTAGTTACCATTCCAATCTTGTTGGCTTCGTCTCCATGCCACCACGAAGAATGGCATCCATGGATGAGTCGAAGAAGAGGATGCTCGTTGGTAGTACTGATCTTGTCGACGACGAAGGTGCCGATTATGGCGAGCCCTCAAGCCTCCAAACTGAGAAGCAACTGCGATTGCTTCTTGCACCTTTCGGAAAGGACCAGCTCATTGATTTTGTTGTCAAGATGTAAGCTCATTTAGTCAAACAAAGAATAAATTTTTCGTCGGTTATGTAGACGGCAGATATGAAGAAATCAATTATGGTTTTTATCCTTTGTCACTATGAAGTTGCTGTCTATTTGATAGTAATTCAAATTTCAATGATAGCAAAACTTATGTAGCCTTTTTGGGCTTGATTGTCTGTGTTTTTATGGCCCTGTAGTTGATATTGCTTTGCTCCAAACGAGTGCAACATGCCATGGGTTTTCTTTTTTAACTTTTTTTTTTTACAGTACTTGTTTGTAGTCTTGAATGCTGCTATTTTGTGGATTAACAGATCACTCTTTGATTAATTTTTTGTCTCCATTTCTTTTTTAATCGATGTGTTCTTTATCCATGATATAATGTGGTTTCTGGTAGCATGGCAGCAAGGAATTATATTTGTTTGTAGTATTAATTTTTTTTCTCTTTTACTTCTTTCTTCGATTATTAATCTGCTAGCAATATCTATCAAATATGTGTTTTATTTTCGTTTAATGAAAAAATAATTGAATTGAAATAAAATTATAAAGAATTATAATAGTTAAGTGAAGGGGAATGCATTTTACATTTACATACATATTACACAATTCTTATATATTTACATGTCTCACGCCTATACTTTCATATTTAGCGCATTTCACTCAAATCCTTAATATCACTTCAAATATAACACTATTATCACTTCTTAAAAGTGAAATAAACATTTTCGTGCAAAAGTTTAGAGCACCAAAGTGCCATGCTTGTAAATATGGAGTTTAGACGTGAGATATGAAAATGCATAAGAATTGTGTGTTTTTTTTGTAAATTTTCCAATGAAATGTACACAAGCTTAGGATGTTTTTCTGAATTTGCCATTTATAGGAGTGCATAACCAAGCTTAGAAACTGACTGCTGTTGCAACTTCTAATATGCAATTGAGTGCCATAGCCAATTCCTGGGGAAGAAACATGAACATGCAAGCTGAATGCAAATATTTACTCTCAAAAGTTTCTGAAAAGAGCTTTGTTCTCTTCATAAAGAGAAGAAAATCATACAATAATAGAAAAATCATAATAAGCCTCCAACAAGTTTCCATCATCCGACACAAATCTCAAGGCATACATGTATCTTGAGACAATATTTTGAGAAATAAACATTCAAACTTCAATTAAGAGTCATTCAAATCTCCAATTTCAGCAAACTTATAATCAAACTGACCGGCTCGATGAGAGGGACCCAATGAAATCAAAATTGATCTAATAAAAGTCTCATCAAGCAAATCAAGATATTAGACCATTTTTGAAAGCTTTCCAAGCATATTTGGGAGGTAAAATGAATGACTAATTTGGAGAGCTTATAGTCGAATCAAGCATCTTGATATGACGAATCCAACAAGACCCAAATCGCTCATCACTGACATCATTAAGACACTCAAATGTCTATTAATCACCGTCTGATCAAAGAAAATTCGTTGGATCGTCCGATCAAAATGATTTATATTCCTCGGCCCACCCCTCTAGTGAAAGGGGGGAGAGAGCTTGAGTCATGACGAAGAGCTTAAAACTTTGAGAAGGAGCTGAAGTCCAACATGACTCATGACGTCGTCGACCGTTGTCGACCACCGTCGACCAATACTTGTTGGTCGCTGGCCATTCCTTACTTCAAGTTCATCCGTGCACCGATGTTGTAACTCTGAAGAGTGTTAAACTTTTTCCCGCCTGTGTGACGAGGGGTTGTACTTGTAATCTATAGTTTATAGTTGATTTCTTCATTTTGTTTAGGCCCCGTGATTTTTTCTCTTTTACAGGTTTCTTGCTTAAAAATTTCTAATGTATTTTATCAGTTGTTTTCTTTTATCGGAGTGCGTGTGCTGAATTTTCGTGCAACGCTAAGACGATAATCCATTACTATATCATTGTGAATCTTATAGCAGACATCAAATGATAAATTAGGCTTTTGAATCACGTGTCCTATGGTCATGCGAGGTATTTCTGTTTATGGGTGGAAATCCTTTTTAGTGTTCTTTGTACATATGGTTAAGCTAAGGTGAGAAAAGGAGAAGATCACCGTCAATTTATAAGACTTAATAGTATATTATAAGTTGGCTATTAATACATGAATGCCAAATTTACTACCCTTGCTTATTTTTCAAGAATTTTATTTTTCATTACAATTAGATAAAATAATATCATTATTAGAGTTAATCTGGTTTGCTATAATGATACTAATTTAGCTTAAATGCATCAAGATAAAATTGGATGATTTGTGAAAATAAATAGTGATTTATAATAAGTCCACACAAAAGATCTTTGTTGACTAAGAACTTTTGGTCATATATTTCTTAGTAGCTGAGGAATAAATTATGTTTCATTTGGTTTCTCCTATGTGACGCCATTGGTTCAATTTTCATGTATTTAGTATATTATCAAGCTGTGTAAAAAATATGTAACCTACTTCCGTCAAGTACTTAGCAAAATCAGCAGACATTTGATTTATGTACAAAAAAACCAAAGAGGTAAGGATGATTTGTTTTGACTGAAGAGAAAATATGTACGGGAAAAAAGCAACATAAGCCTTCAAAGTTTTTTTTTTTGAAATTAATGACATGGATTGTCCCTTGGAAAAAAAAGGTTGACATACAATTAGTATAAAATTGCACAATTATATGTAGATAACTGCAAAGCATGTTATTTAACTGCAGCTCTACAGATTCCTATAATGATACACCATCAATTACAAAGTGTTTAGGTTTTCTTTGGTTTCATCGAAGTGCAATCTTGTCCATCCATTTAATATGGATTGAGTGGCTTATATTAACTAGTATGTTGTTTTGTCAGATATCTAATTATATTCAGTACGCTGGAACCCTTCATCACAGTTTAATTTAGCTTGTATGCACCATGTAACTTGGCCATTTTCTCATTGAAATTACCTCTTTAATCTTGCCACAATTGCTTGATCATTGGAGTTTCTTCTCCTTTCTTGATCATCGGGAAACAACTCATTTTAGCAATACTCAATAAGTGGAGCTGTGTCAGCTTGGTGAAGAAATTAATTGACTCCTGCTTGTGAATTATATTGTATTTGAGGGCCCGTTTGGGGCAGCTTATAAGTGCGGCGACATTTTGAAAACGTCGTCTCATTGTTTGTTTCACGCGTTGGAAATGCGTTTATCAAAACTACGTTTCCTATTTTGCATTACACGCGGTCCGCGTTTCCTTATCGCGTTTAACCCCCAATTACTCCGCTGCCCCTTCCCGCAATGTTTTCTTCTTCCTTCGTTCGCGATTCAGGAATAAAGGAAGCTCCCAGTGCCACAGGTTCTTCATTCGTTCGCGATTATTCTTCCCGGATTCGACATTGCTTCTGCTTCTTCCTTCATCGGCACTCCTTGCTTCTGCTTCTTCCTTCATCGGCACTCCTTCTGCTTCTTCTTCCTTTAGCACACCTTCGTTCGCTTTCCTCTGAGGTAATATGAATTCCGACAAAGGGCACTGTTCTGTCTCCTAAATCTGAAGCCTCTGCAGACTCTCACTACTCCAAAACCCCCCGAGGTACTCTTTCTCTACTCCAGAAGTTGTGTGCATTAATGGTGGACGTGGGTAAATACCTAATAGGTTTAATGTTTCCCGTTTTAGTGCTGTTTGTGCTCACGATTTTGTTAAGCCAAGTTTCTTCTCAGGCTTCTATCGCCTTTTTTTTTGGGGGTGTTAGAATGAATTAGTGTTTAATTTCATTGTTGTTTTATTAAGGGAGGCATAGGTTTACTGTGCCATTACCTTTTTTCTGCTTTTTTTTCTTGTTAACCTTTTCCTTTAAGATGTTATTATTTTCCGTGGATGATGCAGTAGTTTGCTCATTTGGGGAGAAAATGAACACGTGTGTGCTACTTTGTTGTGATTTATATTAGATTCTCTTATAATTTTGTGAGGAGAGAAAGTTGTCTTTGCAAATGATTTAACAGAAAAACATAGGAATTTGACGATTATTTGGGTAGGTTATTTGCCTTAAGCCAACTTTATTTTTTACATACATGCCACCTTATCTATGCATGAAAATGTTTATTTCATTCTTAAGAAGTTAAAATGGTGCTATTTTTTTATGAGTTATGAAAGAATTTGGTGCTATGCATGTAAAAAAGTTAAGTAGAGGTGTTAGATATGTACATACATAGGAATTGGGTGCTATGTATGTAAATACATATAGGGCTGTCCAGAACAGATTATTAATTCAACTAAAAAATTTGCAAATAAGCTGTTTACAAAACACACGAACCAAACAGCTCAATAGCTTATCCAGAACAGGGGCAGATTGGTCATTTCTCCAGAATCAACTGTTCTCAAAACACATTAACCAAACAGCCAAACAGATTATCCGGATCAACTGCCAATCAGCAGATTATCAGGATAAACTGCTTATCAGCAGAAGCTGGATAAGCTGCAGTTGCCCCAAACAAACCCTGAGATAGGGTCGTATTGGATTCTTATAACGTTACCGTTGAAATTTAAGTGAATGATTACCAGCAGAGTATAATTTAGTTACACAAAATCAGTATAGTTGCCTCACAAGTTTCTGTTGTGAACTTTGAGCAATCATACCATCAAACTTGAATTCAATGAATATGTTTTAAGAAATGGGCTCCAATCTCACCACATTTATTTTTGAACTCGCATCTGTACTGGGGCCTCTACTCTCTACAAAAGTAACAAATAACTTAATAGCTCCTGAAAATTAAGAGCACGCTTTTTGCGTGACAATGGCTCAAATGGAATAACATTCCTTGTCTTCTCCTGCATAATGTATGCGGTCTGGCAATTCTTGAAATGAATCACTTATCAACATTGGCCTTTGCATCCATGCCAACAATCTCATAAAATCAAATGCCTTTATTACTTAATGTTTGCATGTATAAACTTGACACGCCAATAAGGATAGTTTGTTGGTAAACTTGAAGTCATCTTGATTTCACAAACTCCAAAGATAAAATGAGGTTGATCTGTCATACAT